CCGCTAAAACGCGGGTAGGTTCATCCTGCCTTTCACAGTCTCTTGGTCCTCACGCAGCCTTCACTCCCTGTGCCCTGGAATCCATCGCTCCATCTCGAAATCAGAGTTTACCAGCACGTTCGCCCGCCATCTAAACCTCAAAAAGGCTTTTTGAACGATCAAAATCGGTTTAGAAATTACCGAATCGCTCAACTTTTTCTCCTCACTTTCCTCCTCTCCGCCATAGCCCGCGCACACAATCTTTCACTACCCTCCTCTTACTCTTAACTCTCACCTAAAACTAACGTCGAATTTCGGGTCGCCATGGGCTGAAACCCCAAGTTTGGCCTTTACCTCGCCCGATTCCGTTATGGAACGGGCGAGCTATGTCTCCTTCCCTCCGCCATGCTTCTTTCCTTCGACTCCGCCATCTTTGTCTGCACCCGGCGTTGTTTCCCGTCCAAGTTCATTCACCCCACTCACTGATGCGCCCGCTGCCTCAACACTCCCGCTTTCTCTTTCCCTCCACCTCGTCCGCTAGTGTTCCGCTAGAGCTTGTCTTCGCCATTTTCCCCTCTGTCTCCGCGCGCCCCTACCATGACCGCCCGTCCAGATACATTTTTCCCTTCAACTGCGTCTGCTCCCCGCCTTAGTGCCCCGTCGCTAGCTGCGCTTACTTCGCCCTGCCCTCACTGCGTCGCCCCGCTGGCTCTCAACTCGCCCCGGCTGCGCTGTGCCTGCTTGCTCCGCTTGCCCTCTCTTGCCCGTTCGTGCTTCCTCCGCCTTGCGAATGCACCTAGTGCAGGAGGGCACCCAAGTGCTCCCTACCTCCCGTTCGCCATTATCGTCCCCTCATGTTGCCTACTCCTTGATGCGTTCCTTTTAGTCTAGCAACGCCCGCACAGTCGCTGCCTGCCTTCGTGCCCGACACTACTCCGTCGACCTCCTCTGCTTAGCTCGGCAATCGACAATAGTCGACCCCCGTCCTCCTTTACTGTAGTAACGCTACTCTGGATAACGACCCGCCTGGTCTGACCGCCCGCCATTCATAGCTATCCCACACAGAAGCTTCAGAGAAGTCTACTGCTGAACGATTCGTCTACCCCGCCGCCCCTATACCCAAATCCGACGGACAGCTGGCCCAGCGGGCCGCACATTTTTGCCCCGGCACTCCCCGCCTATTGCACCTACTAAGCTTGTGACACAACTACCTGCCCCTTTGTCCCCTCAATCGCCCCTTCCAACGAATGAGGACTACCCTTCCTTTGAATGGACCTGGCGCGAAAGTTCGTCCTGATTCATCCCTGTTTGCACCTCACCGGCCTACCGCCCGTCGTCCGCTGCGTTGTCGTTCGCTGCTGCTAGCGCAGCGTCGCTCCTATAGCTCTGCGCAGCCCGGCAACGTGCGGCCCACTGCGCTAGAGCAAACACCGCCCTGTCGAGCCCAACTACGGCACCCCGACGATGTCTGAGAGAAACTCCGGCGGAACCAGCTACTAGGCGGTTCGATTAGTCTTCCGCCCCTATACCGGAGTCCGTCGTGCGACTCGCACAGTGCTGCTACGGGCCTCCACTGAGATTGCCCTGGCCCGTTTCCTCTCAGGCGAGGCTCCCTACCTCCTCGGACTCCCAGCGAGCAAGCCCCACACGACCTGTTGAACATTGTGCCGCAGGTGTTGGCCTGTTACAGGCCTACGCACGGGTCTGAATGGGTCGGACCCAGTCTTGGTGGTAGTAGCAGATGTCCAGGTGGGAACCTGAGGTAAGAGGCTGCTGTGCGGCGCGGGACCGATACGGTTCCCCCACGTTCCCTTGTTAGAGGCTTGAGCACAAGCGTGGCTGCTACGGGGTTTCCTGCGACTACAACACACCCCGCGCTGCCCTGCCGCATTTGAAATAAAGACAATTAACAACAAAAAAAATAAAAAATAACCACGAAAATTCAAAAGCCGCCCTTGATCCTGTCGCGCAACCCCGTAGACCGCAAAACCACGGGGGATAGCCTTTCCCGCTCTCAACCCCGCGGCTCCTCCTCGCCACTTTGATACGCTCGCGTCATTGCCGCTCGATCACGATCCCTAAACGCCTCAGATGAACTCCAACTCCGTAACCAATAATGCTAGGCCCGCGTCTGGGTCTAGCTCTGGCGGACGCCTGAATAAACGGGCACTACGCGACGCGCCAAACTACCAAAACGCCTTCAGCAGTCACATTGCTGTCGATGCCGTCCTCCGCACGTACGCACGGGTCACAGGCAAGCACATCAGTCAACGAAGCGTAATATTTTTAATCCCTATTTTAATTAAAAAAAAAAAATTCTGGTCGGCGATCACGCCGACCCTTCAATCATCAATAAATAAGAAGATCACGCGCGCCTCAAACGTCTGCGCGCCCACACACTCTCTATTCTAGTCAACCATCCAGCTGTCGTAACCCACAGACGCAGCCGCGCCTCGCGCGGAATACTTAAATTCCAAACCAAGCCTATTTTCTGCCACATGCAAAAACCAGGGCGGATACCCTTGTAAGGGTATTCGTGCCGACACCGCGACGAACTGTGGGATCTGCGCAAGTTGGTGTAGGAGCTGAGTTGGCGGGGTGACAATTGTTGTGGTGTGGTGGTTGGTATGTAGTACCAGGGTATGGAAATGTGCTCGTGATTGAGAGGTTGTATGGCCTGGGCCCATAGTCAGAGAGCAGAAGGCTTGCACACCTGTGATCTTCTATTCTTCTTATTCTTTTGGGAAGTTAAGTCGATGGCAGATTGCTGGTTTCGGTCCTCTGATCTACTTTGTGTTCTTACTACGCTTCCTTTGTCTTTACTCTCCCTCTCCTATCAAGCTATATATCCGCCGTTATCTTCTCTCTCTCTCTCTCTCTCTCTCTCTCTCTCTCTCTCTCTCTCTCTCTCTCTCTCTCTCTCTCTCTCTCTCTCTCTCTCTCTCTCTCTCTCTCTCTCTCTCTCTTCCTTTTCGGTATTTCCGTCATGAATGGCTGAATGCTAAGGTGAAGTTCCTACAGATTCTTGAGGTCTTGGGTTGTTCGCCCTGTTAAGTTCAATCGGGACCCGCAGGGAAGGGCGTCGTTGAATTTGAGAGGCTGCAAAGCTTGAACGATCTTGCCACACGGCCCACACCCCTCTCCCTTTCCGTGCTACCTAGTAGCGCCTCATGATGCATGTATATGGGAACAAATTAATGCGTGTCCGAATGTAAGTTGATCATACTCTCCATTGGATCAGATTGCATGTTGATTGGAAACTGATGCATGTTGCGGTGTCTGCTTATTTCCGTGATTGAGTAGTGGACTGATTAGGTGGGCGCAGTCTGGTTTCTACTCGTGCCATGTGGCCCGAACATTCCAATCCCACCGGATGCCGACTTTCCGCACCCCCACCTCGAACATTCCCCTATAATGAGGAAAGGACACGTGTATGCGAGTGGGACGTACGGGAAGCCGTCGCCAAGATCGGCAGAAGATACTACTTTCCACTAGAGACGAGATGTTCCAGATTTGTAGGTGCTGGTTTTGTCATTGTTGACACTCACTTTCCCCCCTATTCACTGTTGTTGCCGTTTAATGAGTTGATTCTCATTCCGTGGATGGCAGTTGCACCCCATTGGCCCAACACTTTGTGCAGTGAGTGTTGCCGCATAGAGCGCTATCGAAAAAGGGGGTTCCACTATCGGACACGTGGCGAGGACGAACACAAGGAACGAGCGACTAGGCTGAGGCCCTCCACGCCAGACTCTGAGTTTTGCAATGAGCGACGCCGGGATCTGATCCGAAAACGGGATCCCACATGCATTCGTTCGCCCTTTCATTCTAAGAGATGGCCGGTAGCACGCACGAAAGTACAGCGATACGTCTTGGATTGAATGGATGTTTGAAAACAGTGGCGCTTGTTTCTTTCCCGCGGGACAGAAACCCATTCTCATTAAACCGGAACCACGGGGGGGATTTCAGTTCCGTCTGAGTCCCCACACTCAATATCCCAAAAATCCTTGGCACACCCCATTCCCACTGTCTTTCAGGGCCCTTTCCTCACAACACAACTCCGACTGGAAGACAGGACAGGGCGTGAGGTTGAGCATCACAAGCGTCGCGGTAGCAGCCTGCCTTGTCTCCTGTTCCAGCATAAGCACCCACTACACTTCCCCCTTCCCATTGTCGCTCCTTTTGGCTGCAATTGTCGCTGTTCCTGCTGGACGGAGTCCTGATCCACGAACCTATTGTACCTGTGTACAGACCGGACGCCTTGTACGAGATTGTCCTCAACCACAACAACCAGTGCAGGGACCACCCCTTGCGGCTATCTCGCCTCGCAGAGCTTCCAACTGTAAGCGTCGCGGTCGCAGCCTGCCTTGTCCCTTGTTCCAGCATAAGCACCCACTACACTTCCCCCTCCCTTGGCCGCCATTCCCGCTCCTTTTGGCTGCAACTGTGGCTGTTCCTGCTGGATGGAGTTATGATCCACGAACCGATCGTACCTCTGTACGGACCGGATACCTTGTACGAGATTGTCCTCAACAACGACAACCAGTGCAGGAACCACCCCTTGCGCTCCCGTCACCACCAACTACGACGACTAGGAACTTCACTCAAGTATGATCCTAAGTGCGCTGAACATCTGCTACCAGGTGGGGTGATAAGAGCGCCTTCCCTGGCAGCCCACCGCCGGATGCTCCAGTCTATTGAGTCGACTTTGAAAATCATTGAAGACATTCCCACCCCCACCCTCACTCAACAGGAGTTTCTTGTTTGGCAGGTTTCGTTGGAGAGATCCGTCCTGCAGAAGATAAAGAAGCGAGTGATTGGGTAACACTTGACGATGAACCTGGACTCAAGTTTGTTCAAGGAAAACCAGTGCGACGTGCCCGTTGTCCTAAAGATACCTGATCTTCGCATAGTATAGTATGCATACCCATGCCTATCAGGCATATGTTAATTGTCTCCGAGATTGCTAATGAACGATTATAGCAGCACTGTCTTAAGAACTAGAAACTATTTACATAATATATCTTCGATTGCAGAATTTACTAAAAAGAAGGAAGAACACAGGGCAGCGTCACAAAAAGATCCACCAAAGGACGAGAGTCACGAGACACAAATCACATTCTTTTGGCTGCTCCTCCAATGGATCCTCCTTCGGAAGAATCTGATTGATCCTGGATGGGTTGCAATCACCGCACAAAATGATAGATATCATTTCGCTAACGTAAAGCCTGTTGCTCGCAGTGCTTGGGAAACCGTAGAATGGGATTGCAAGTTATGGGATTCTCTTAACCCCGATTGTTGACTGTGTTTTGATGGTACTTGCGCTGCCGATGCAGATGATTATGAAGATGGGCCGAACGCCCATGGCATCCCTTGCGTACGAAAAAAATGATTTTTTTGTATGTGCGGTGTACTCCGCTGTAGAGAGGTTGCACTCCATGTTGCAGTTCCGTTGTACTCTACCCGCAGCAGCACTTTTGTGAAAAATAAGTTACAAAAAAATCTGAAAATTTTTCAAAAAAAGTGTATGTGATAGAAAACATTATTCTGTCAAATTCTGAGCAGCTTTTGCCTGAAACAAAAAATGAAATACGCAACGCGTACCAAAAAGGTTCATGTGTAGTACGGGGGCGTACTACGCGATGTCCGCGTGCATTTCGCACACAAAGGGTTGCCCCGCGATCACCTAGTGTTATGCCCTTACGTGATAGTGAAAATTACATAAGATCTGATAAAGGTAAGATTCAAGTAGTGGGATCTCTTCTAGTGTGCCCATTTGAGTCCGGAGAGTGCAGGCCCTGTTACCTGCCATCTCTTCAAGTTTGCCCATTTGAGTCCGGAGTAAAAGGGCCTTTACCCGATAGAGGCCTCAGGCCTTGTAAAAATAGAGCAGCACGGGCCTTGTAAAGGTAAAGCATTGTGAAAAGGTATCTTGCCAGGGCTTAGAAACGTGAAAACATGTCAAAGGTCAAGTTCTCTATCAATAGGCACATCTAAATCTAAGGCAAAGGGCATTGTCAAAAGACTTACCTGTTCACAGGGAGACGTGTATGTCATGTCTGTTCGGGTAAGGGTGTGTCTATACGTGCAGGCAGTGTACCTGTTCGTGCAATGGAAAGTGCCTGTTCAAGTTGTAAATGTGTCTGTTCGTTTAGAGTTGTGCCTGTCCGAAAGTGAAGTCAGTAGGCACAGTCCCAGTTCTGGTCTAAGTCAAGGGGTCAGTCCAGATCCAGACTTT